TAACTGGGTTGTTTCTTGCAACATTATTAGTTACACATGTACCCACAGAGAACTGTGATGTTAATTTGTTCGAGGAGGTAAGTGTCAAAGAAGCCACTAACTATTTCTAAGCTTAATAGGTTAAACTTCTGCAGTTTGTCATGTATTCAGGCAATCGACGACTCAAACCACACCTGCTACTTAAGACTCTCAGAATACGGCGTTGAATTGTCTGAATTCTAGATATAAATAATAATAATATATTAGTTTCCAAACTGGTGAACATTACTCAATAATGCTTCTAATTAGAGAGGTGTATTTAATCTCTCAAGAAGACTAAATTCACTTTATAACAAAACAACGCCGCAAAAGAGGTCTCAGGTTATGTCACTGTGACATTCGGTTGATCCAGTAAAGTTGTTAAATACTTGTTGAGACTCTTCGGTAATCAACTCCAATAGCCTTCTTCAAAATAAAATCAAAGAAATTTATATCGACTATTAAATATCGAGTTCAAGAAATTACAATGAGCACATTGGAAGTTTAGCAGCAAAGCTTATGAACACAAACTTGCCTGAGTTGGCCGGATAGACTACGATTGAACTTTGACTATTTTCGTAATCAATTGCCTTGGAAGGATTCTTGTTCATTTTCAAAATAAAACAGCATTAATTAATTTTTCTCGGGTCTTCATCAATTTTATTTTATTTTGATGATTGTTTAGAATATTGAAGTTGGTAGGTGTACTTTTCCTATAACAAATTTTTTAGATATAGCCAATCGGACTCTTAAGAAAAGTAACGTAAAAGTACGTAAACTATTAAAACCAATTCTAATATACTTTAGTAATAGCAGGCGACTTTTCGAGTCGCATGTTCAACATTTTCATTACCTGGGTATAATAAAGTATTCATAGAAACTTGGAACTAAAGTCTTGAAAGAATCGATTGTCGATATTTTTGAAACAATCAAATTGTTGTTTCTCGGATATGAATCAATTACTTATTAACGAAACTTCATTTGTTATTATTTATTTTAGCTTTTACGGCTCCCTTAATATTGCCATCAACCAATTCATCGATTGTGTTATAATCTTGTGACGCAATGAGAGAGGTTTTACTAGTTTCATTTCTATGAATGATGTCTAAGGGCCGTATTCTAGAACTCTAGTCAATGCTCAAGTCAGGATTTGAGTATGGTTTAAAGCACTCGAAATTATACTCAAGTCCCTGCCATTAGGGTCGTATTTCCAGTACTTGTATTTCCAGTGCAATCCTGACTTGAGGATTGAGTAGAGTTCTAGAATACGACTCTCAGTGTCCTAAGTACCGATGCTTGTTAACAGATCAGTCTTCTTCTTCTTCTTGTTGTATCGATGGCATACACTTATTCTTTGTATCGTGATGATAGGATTCGGCAATCGACGTATGGAGTTCGCGGATTGTTGCCAAGGGTGCGACAGACACCAGTACGTTGACTGAAGAGGCTCCTCTCGTGCACCTCACTGATCAGATTGAACAGATCGATGCAGTTTTTTTAAATGTTCAAATCACCTCCTGTGCTGTACATTTCACATCATTGTGTAGGTACTTAGAGTAAAATCAAACAACTGACGTACGCACTCAAAGGCAGATTTAAACTCACGAGGAACCCCTACTTTATATCACAGTTTATTACGTCTCGTAATGTATTTTAATCGCTATCAATAATAATAATGGCTTAGTAATGACTGCCGTTTGACGGACGGCTACCTAATGCTAGTTAATCACCGCACCCTTTCGCCCTTTCTGACCCTAGGTGGAATCGATCTGCTTCGCAAACTTAGGATCGAATGTTTGCTTACTCTGCATACCATTTTGATATCATGTTTAGTGCTTTCCTTTGAACTTAGTTCACAATCTTCTTTTCCTTATTCTTTGGGTTAGTTTTATAAAAAATCTCTTCGTATGAGTGTTTACGCAAGGTAAAACACAAATCTAAGAAATATTACAATGATTAATCCCGTTTGAAATTTTCGACACAGTTCGACATTTTTAAATGTGCACGCACCATAATTCACATTTAAAAATGTTTATAAAAATTTACTTATTTATTTATTTTATGATAATTGTGACGACCTCGGTGGCCTAATAACGGTTTTCGTTGTGGACGCTGGGAGGTCCCGGATTCGATTCCTGGTAGGACAAATTCGGGAAATTAACTTTTCTAAATTGCTTACAGTCTGGGTGTTCTGGGAAGTGCCCCAGAGTGAATTCCGTTGCTCTGGTACTCATAGTACAGGGAATTCCCTAGTTTTAGACCAGGCAATTGCTGTGGTTATCTGGAAAGGGTCTGGCACATATTATTCTATATTTTAGAAATATACTCAAATTTCGTTAAAAAGATCACGGTAACAATATCAAATAACAAATCCAGTTGTAAAATATAATTGTATATAAAATTTATGTCAACCTAAGAGCAGGTCGAGGAGTACAAGTGTCAGGTAGCAAAATAACTTCGTAAATAAAAGTCAATTTAGTCAGCACGTTTCTCGGGGGCGGATACAAGTCACAATATCTCCAAATTGGTCACTACGCGAGATTTTTACCGTAAAAGTTTTAAAATAAAATGTAAAACAGTATAAACTTTTCTCTATTCCATAAATAATCTTCGCGTTTAAATGAGAATTGACTAACTGGCAAACAAATTCACGTATGGCACCCTACGCAGCTATCGCTTTGACTTCTTTTGTTAAATCACATTTTCGTCGAATTTTCACACTGAAGCTTTTAAGTTCCGTTTTTACCAGAGGGTAAGAAAGTAGAATACAGAATAGAATAATATGCATTTTCATGGTTAACGGTATTCTACGACGATACATGCAGGTATATAAAACAAAATGGTTTACGACAAGTAATGCATCATGGCAATAGTTAACAACAACGCTGTCCTAGTTATAAACGCTCTATTACGACGTAATTGACCATTGTTGTAGCGAATAGAGGATGACACAATACTATATAAATTGGTTGCAAAACAAGATGTAATGATTGTCACTCTAGGTAACCAAATTGTCGATCACCCAACCAAACAAACTTTAAACTGCAATATTTGTATGTAGTCAGCAAGCAGTTTGATTGTAGAGTGCATTATACATCTGGCCATACGGGCCGCGTAGGCACGGCCTCTCCCCGGTTTCTTAGTGCCGCATATATAAAATTATAATTTTTTATTCAGACAACTACATTTTTTGAGGTCCTATGGTGTTAGTAAACTTACGAAAGTAACTTAAAGTTAGTGGTGATACTAATAAATAGTGTTTACATAAAATTTAAATAAAAATGTAAATATAAAAAGTTATACAAAGGTCTCAAGTTTATTCTTAATTTGTTTATTTTTTTGTATATGGCTCATTGGTGTTATAGCTGTACGATGAACCATCGCTCACCAAATGATACTGGCAGAATGACAGCGCTGTAGTCAAGGTCTGTGCTCAGCTAAGACCTTTTCAACGCAAAATTGATTATTATTTTATTAATATTGTGATTGAAAATTTTGAATTGACATTTTGTCTGTCTCTATTAATATAATATAAACCACAAGATAATCATTAATTATTCTGAGTTAATCAGGGCTTTTATAATTTGTACTTTAATTTTCTAAAGTCCCCACAGCATTGCAATTACAATGAAGCAATTAAGAAACAAAATGCAGTAATTATGCGCTTATTACATAGGTTAACGTCGCGCATGGGTGCGCCACACGTGTGTTTCGTATTAATGATTTTACTAGCTACATATAAAGCGTGCAAATAACATAGCAGCGGTTAGAAATCGCCAACGTATGAAATCAATCGGAACGGCGGGATGCTCCAATAATATCACGGTCAATCACGGTATTGCATTTACGGAGTCAATTGTAAACAATCGAGCAGCAAAAAGTATCGCATTTCTACGAACTTCGAGTTAAGTCTAGTTCGGTGAAATGATTTTCGATAACAATTATCATGAACTTTGGGTAATAAGTTAAAATCTTTTTTTTGTAATATCAAGTGACGGAACGAACAAGTCGTGCACCTGATGGTAAGCTACACGCCTGTCCATAACAGTTGCAGTGCCACTCAGAGCTTTAAATTACAAAGATCTTGGGGGCACAACCACTGCGCCCGTTATCCTGAGACATAAGTTGAAAAGTCCCATGCGCAGGTAATTTCTCCAGCAGCCTTACCCTTCAAATCCTGAACGCAGTAATGCTAACATTACTGCTTGACGTCAAAAATAGGTAAGGTGGCATTGTTTCCCTGGACGAACTCTTTCACTCGACTGCTCTTAAAAACTGCTGCATTCAAATTCAAAATAATCTTTATTTCATAGGTAAGCATTATTACACTTGAAATCGTCACAATGGTTAAACTCTACCGCTCATTCGTAAGGCAGATTCCCCTGAGAAGAATGAGCAAGAAACTCTAGGGGTTGCTCTTTGTAAATAACATTTACAATATTTTTTTATTTGAAACATCAGATTGAGACTACCTCCATGAGCTAAACGGGTTACTACCACGGATTTTTGTCATCCAAGTACGCAGAAGTTGTATAATAACCTTTAGTATAAAGTTTTTGTTTCACTATAGTTTTAAACCTCGTGAAAGGCAAATTTTGTATATCAACCGGAATCTTGTTATAGAAGCGTATACATTGCCCCTTAAATGATTGTTTGACTTTGTGAAGACGACTATCAAGAAAAGCTAGTTTATTTTTATTCCTCGTATTAATGTTATGTCTGTCACTATTTTTCATAAAGAAATTACTATTCCTTTTAACATAAATTATATTTTCATAAATGTATTGTGAGGCTAGTGTAAGAATGTTAATTTCCTTAAACTTGTCTCTCAAAGATACTTTGGGGCCCACTCTCACATTCTTACTTAGGTATCCATTTTATTAGAAGCGTTTCCTGCATTTCACGTTCACGTTCAACATGAAATTGTTGTGTTTAGCTTAGGACAAAGAAAAATTTATAATTTGGTCTCCCGTTTGTTGCAGCAATGGACGGCGGCGCATGGTGCGCGCGCGACATCTCACTACGCGCACAGAAGAAGTTCCTTTCGCGCGTGGGCGGCGCCGCTAGTGCGCGCGCGCTAGTGCTCGATGAACATGCCGCGAAACTGCTTGATCAGGTAGGTATCTTAAGCCGGGTACTGATAAGCCAGCTGTAACTGTAACGCGCCAGATACAGTAACGGGGTTCTAGTGAGTACGCATGAAATACTCTTCAGTCGCTAGAATGAGTACATCCCTGGTTATTGTCAGCTTACTGCGAAACGCACGCGTTCCGCTCGCGAACCACGTACACACTATGATTTTTGGTAACATAACATGCAATGGTTACGGTTACAACTCGCCAGTGAGTATCCGGCTTAATATGACTAATAATAGCAAATTACATTTTTTTTCAGTTTTTAACCGACTTCAAAGAAGGAGGAGGTTCTCAATTCGACTGTATGTTTTTTTTTTGTATGTATGTTACGCGATAACTCCGGTATTTGTGAACCGATCATGATTCTTTTTTTGTTGGAAAGGGGGTACTTCCATAGTGGTCTCATTTCATTTTGAAGGAAATCATCCACCTCGAAGGGTGGCTGTTCACGCATGAAGATTCATTTTTATAAATAGCGCCTAAATTTTCTTAAGGAGCAATTATTTTAATGGTTGATTTTGCTTTTTCTCCAATTCAAAGCGTTTTTCTCTCAATATTCTTTGAGTAGTGAGAACCGATTTTTTATAATCTCCAGTGTCAAGTCCTGTGTAGTGGATAATTTAAGGATATTTCAAAAAACTTAGCAAATAGACGTAATGCCACGTACTTTTGAGGTCGGTTTTTTTAGTACTCTGTACTGAGATTATGTATTCCAATTTTTGGCAGCTTAGCTCGTCACTTGTTTACCTGATTTGTCTTTTTGTCATGCAAATTTCTGTGAAAGTGAACCAAACAGAAGTAAATCGCATGGCAATAGCGCCGCGCGGCAATTGTTTCATACCTACGCTGAAAATACAACGCATTGAGAACTAAACCTTAACTTTCATCTGGGACTGTCTAGACGGAACTCGTTTATCATAACTTGTATGTTTGTGTTTCAGCACAAAGTTTCTACTTACGTTTTTACATTATTAAGTTGTTCGCGAAAATAATATATTATGTCCTTTCAACAAAGAAGAATATATATATTTCATTTTTTATACAATGTCAGAATGTTCCACCAACATGATATTCAATTATTTTTTATGAAGTTACTCCACTAGTTTATCGAACACTTAGAAAAAATTCCTTCGATTTCATAGATTTCTCATACATGACGCTACGGCTCAAAACTCGTTGAAAACCAAATACAAAGATCCCAAAATACATAGATGTGCTTGTTGTTCGTTCCGTGACTAAGTTAGCATAGCGTTTGCTATAGCACGGTTTGCTAAAGACATCATCGGTTCGAATTCAGCCGGATCAAAGGATTTTTTCTAAATATTCGATCTGTGTATTAACAATTATTACAAAGAATTAATATTTTTTAACTACTTACCGTCTTCATTATTATTAACATATGTACTATATTGAAACTGTAATAATGTAAACACGAGAAACGCGCGAGAAACTGAATCTTCATTTATCCTTCCTATCAAGGCGTGATTTGTATTCCAGTTTTTGAGCGTGCTTCGCGAGCGCGTGGACAAGCGGGAAGCAGAGAAGCTGGTGAAGCACGTGATCAAGGCGGCAGTTAAAATTGGCGTGCTGCGTCGTCACGGGCAGCTCTCCGCCGCTGACGAGAGGGCTCTTGCTGCTTTCAGGTCTAAGTTCCATGTAAGTATATGATCTGACCACTACTTAATTGTCTAACTAGTGCTATCGACCCAGATACATTCCACTAATGAGCGAATTAACTATACTATACCTACAGCCACAACACGAGACACGCATTATTACAATATACGTGTTAATTTCTAGCCAAGACTTCTAAGTAGTGCGCAGATATCGTTGTTTTTTGCACTATAAATATGAAATAGTTATAAATTTTGCATCACTTGTAAAAAAACGTATTAGTTTTCGTTACCGCCACACATTCTTTCATAAAATAGTTCTTGCAATTTTGAAATCTGTTGTGTACAACAGATTTCAAAATTCATTCAACTTAAAAGTATGTGACTTTTAAATATAAAATGAATTATATTAATCACGTGTATAATATTGACTTTACTAGGTTTATATAAACAGTATTTCCTTTTTTCAACTTTTATTTAATTTTTCTATGATAAAGATAAGTAAGACTTTAGATAACTTCTTAAGTTGATTGTAACCACATTATGTCAGTTGTCAACGTGTATTGTATTATATCTTGTATTATTGCTCGCCACGGTGTACTTTAATATCGTACAGTCAAGAACACGGCAAGCTTTTTTTTATTTATTTTATTGACAATTAAAAAGTTTACAAAAAGAAACACAAGACAACGAATAAAAACCAATAATGATTTAATGGTTTGTACTTGACACTTTGTGCTTTGGACTGTTCTTATCGTAAGTGGCATAGAGTTGGATTTAAATCTTAAGTGTCAAGCTTGCCGTGCTCTTGACCCTGTACAAACGTTTTAGAAACTTTTTTTCAAATTCGATTAAGCTAACGTTTGGTTATTTGTAAAATAATTACCATTTCATAGGACTATATTAAATACTAAAACATCATAAACAATAAGTTTTGTTTTATGACTTTTTATAAAAAATAATAAATTAAAAAAAAACTTAGTTTTTATTGTACTGACACTTTTTACATCGGTATTTGGTAGTAATGTGGTAAGTTCAAATGTGCAAACGTCCGCGTCTTCCTCGAAGACCCCCATCGCCGAATTGGTATTTACGCTAGTGCTTTCCTTTGTTACTTTACAGAGTTATCACCACAGCGCATTCTATTTAAATATTTTTATTTTTTACGAAAGTAAAATCTGATGACTTGTTAAGTCATAGAACAAAAGTTATTGTTTATGATGTTAGTAATATAGTCCTGCAAGGTTGTTAGTATTTTACAACAGTCTTATAACATAATTAAAGATAAAATATAAAAGGAAACAGTCAATAAAATCAGTACAGAGTACTAAAAAAAACCGACTTCAGAAGTCATTCATTCCATAGTTTGCCACCCTTAATGGTGGAATATTTTCTTCAAATTCAAATGGAACCATTTCTAAGGTACTCTCTTTCCACCAAAAAGAGAATCATCAAATTCGGTTTACAAATACACAAAAAAAAAGTGGAATTGAGAACCTCCTTTTTGGAAGTCGGTTAGAAATATTTTTGTAATTATTCTCCTAGTAAATTGTGAGAACTTTCTCTTATCTTATAACTGCCTCCGTGGCCGAATGGTTATTATGACTGCCACGCAGAGGTCTCAGGTCCGATTCCCGGGCCGGGAGAAATATTTGTATGACCTACATTTATTTCTCTCGTGAGTTTGGGTGTAATTTGTGGTTGTCTATGTGTGTGTCCATGGCACCCGCGACATAGGGCTAAGTTGAGTGTGTGCGTTATAAAAAAAATCAACCGCCATTGTCATGTAAGGAATTGAATCGGGCAGCCACTCATGCTTTGATACACGCATCATAACCGTACAGTCAACCTCAATTAATTGTACTCAGTTGACTGCCACATTCCATTATGATACGTATTGTATTTACATGTAAAGGTGTAGCAATTTACCGTGGAGTATTCATTAGGTACATCGCATACTGTATGCAGGTATGAGTAAGTACCGTCTCTGAAGTTAATGACACTTTGATGTTCACTCAAACTTATCTTTATGTTTTCTGCGTCGGTAAACAATATTACATCGGCCTAATGATCCACTTGTACTTTATGTAAGAAACCACGTTAATGGTCATACTGAGGTTGTATTTTGGATTTGAATTTGGAATGACAATGATCTTAATCTGTAACGCCTACGATGTAGCGTCAACGTTTACGTTTTTGTAGTTAGTACGCTTGTCTGTCGTTAGCGTTTGGTTTTTTATACTATTAAGTGACGGGACGAACAAGACGTGCGCCTGATGGTAAGCTACACGCCTGTTGCAGTGCCACTGAGAGCTTTAAATCGCAAAGATCTGTGGTGCACTGCCTCTGCGCCCGTCACCCTGAGACATAAGTTGACAAGTCCCATGTATCTGTAATTTCACCAGCACCCTTACCCTTCAAAACCGGAACACAGTAATGCTGACATTACTGCTTGACGACAGACATATGTAAGTTGGCAGTACTTCCCTGGACGAAATCTTTCACAATGAGTTCTGCTGCTACTAAATGCTGGGTTATTCGGTATCTATTCAAATAAAGTACTTAATAATAGAATTGTTATTCAATTAAGTAATTTTCATATACTATTTTCCAGACGGTGCTGATGGCCGTGGTATCTTTCTGCGAGGTCGAGTTTTCGTATGATCGTGGGTTCTTGCAAGATGCTTTGCGCGATTCGCACCAGTCGCTCAAGTAAGTTCGCTTTTACGAACGAACGGTTACCATGCTGGTATGCCCGCAGTCTCGGGTTCGATACCCGGGTCGGGAGAAATATTTGTATAACCTATGTTTATTTCTCTTGTGAATTTGGGTGTACGCCCCCGACACAGGGTTTCCCCAGTGCGGGACTATGTGTGTGCGTTAAAAAAATACTTGTAGTTTAGATGAAATTTAAAAAATGAATTGTGAGCAAGAAACAGGAATTAAGAATAAATCTAGAAACAGTTTTATTTTAATTTATTTCTTTTAATTACCAGATCGGTGGTAGAAAGGCATCTTTCCGACAAATCGGTGTCCCGCCTAGCCGGAGTGTTCGCTATTGCCTCACGGGGAGAGCTCCTCGACTCACTATTCGCCGGACAAGTCGATGAAGAGGTCCTCAAGTTATCACGGATGCTTCGCAAGGAGCTCGATCGCGGTCTTCTCTAATCCAACCAGCGAAAACTGTATGTGCCGTCCTTACACTATCAAAGCTGTCTGTACCATCTCTATTATGGAGGATTGTAAGACATTTGACGTTGCAGCGAGCGGTTGAATAGATGTGTGGTTTGGCTTTTGACATACTTACACTATTCTTGGTAAACTTTCTTCAGTAACTACTGTAAAGTTTATACGACTTGATATACACAATAAGCCGATCGAAATATCTTTCACTGAAAACATTCAAATTCTATCTGTCTTCAAAACTTGTTAGCGAATGGGGTTCGATGGAATGTACGTAATCTGTAAATATATTTTGTCGAATGAACTTGGGGCTTAATTTGAAAGGGACTACGTCAGTATGTCAGGGATATTAAATGTTGGATCAGTAAGGTTTCAACTATGGGATCACTTTCAACAATATCGTTATCTCCACAAATGGAGATTTGATTTCATTCGTAAGTCTTTTTCAATGAAATTACTCGTAGGTAGATGTACTTTTTGCACTGTTAATCGAAATTCGATTGTATGCCTTGCACATATCCTCAAATATCTTCTTTATTATGTGTTTTTTGCCATTTCGTAATGTGGCTGACGAAAGTTTAAAATATTTAATATATATACATATGTATATATACAAGAGCATAAACTCTACAAAATAAGAACATTTTTGCCATAATCTTGACTATATAATATTGAGTATTATTATATTTGGATTTATGTACAAGGCTCTAGTGTTGTACCTAATTTTAATCTTGCTTAATGCCTTATTTTCACTAGTCGCACTTATACGATTGTACATTGCATTTACTTTTGTTGGTCATTGTTTGTCATTTATGATACATATGACAAAATAAACCAACAATTTGTGCCAGTGAACTGACTAAACTTTAGCGTCACAAACAATTTTGTATTGATTAATATATATATTTGAAATTGGATTTAGAAATTCAATACCTCTAATTCTCAAGTTTCTGTACAAGCATATTACAATGAAACAAACTAAACCTGAAATTTGGAAACTTAAACAACCAAGACTGAGAACTTAAAAATAATACTCAATGGAACTGTTGACTCTTATTTACCCAATTCCATACTTTTCTGGTATATTACCCGTCGTTCACTATGTAGTAATACTACTTGTAAGTACTTACAGCATATTGACTTTGCTTTAAAATTGCTGTACTATATTTTCCAACTCTAATATTTACCTTTCAAACGGCTAGGAACTTTTCGCTACGTAAATGTAAATTAAAAGAGATGTGGTACATGTCTGTAATAATTGTTAGAAACGATATTAGAGTTAGTTTCTTAAGATTATGATGTTTACTGTTTCTGGGAAATTGTAGAATTTGAAAAGACGTTAATGAATGTAATGTGTGGTACAAAGTTTGGCATTGCACGTAATCGAAGGAAATATTGTTTATGTTGTACCTATACTAACGCAATGTTTTCGGTAGTAAAACTTTTAATGTTTAAGTCTAAACAGTCAATTGTTTTTTTTTTCAAAATGTTATTATTTGTAAATCTCATGAAATTAATTTCACTGACTGAAACATGAACATATACTCTCAGAAAGGTTTCATTGAAATGTTTTTCATAAAATTATGGTTGAATTAATTATTTTATTTTATAGGTCGTGACGTGTTACTCATTAACCTCTATAGGGTAAAAGTTTTCCACACGTCTGAATCAATAAGGCTATAATAATTTGCACTTGCCTATATTTTATTTGCCATTCTATTGACATTTAATCAAGAAAAAATGAGAATTGAATTATGTTTGTCTAGTATGTCGTGACAAAGATCTTGCCTTAATTTTATTATTATTATTGTACTTTACACTTTTATTGTTGATTTAGATTTTTTTTTATTTAAAATGTGACGCATTTATTATAATTGTAAATATAGCAACTATTATCAGGTTAATTGTACATTTATGTGGATTAGTTTAAATTTTAAGACAGTTACCAATATTTATTGGAAAGAAGTTTAATTGAGAATTTACTGGGTTTTGAAAATATTTATTTACACATTTATAATATTTATAATTTAATTTTGCCAAGACTAGTTCTAGAGCTATATAAAATAGTGAATTTTACTTACTTTTTATGTCCATTTCAGAAGATGATTTTTAAATAATTAATTTTATAACACCCACGATGAGCAATCAATCTAAACTATGGTAGAAACTCGATCGCCATTTAATTTTGTGCATATTTTCTAGTGACAAATTATTAATAATGTGATGTAATTGAGGCTATCAGCGTAAAAGTGTGTAACCCGCATTAATTTTTTTTCTATAATATTACTTTAAATGATACTGAAGTACATAATTATTTTATATTTGTATGCTATTTTCATGTATAAAGTAAATTCAATAATTATTACTATGTAGGTCATAATATATGATTACTACAAATAAAATTAATTTGACTGTATGCATTTAATATGGTTACACCACTCAATTAACGAATAAATTCTTGTAGTGCTGATTTAGACCATTAGATATGCTATAGTCCAATTTGACAAGTTAACAGAGAAGATCTTATCATGGGGAAATAGCACTTTAATTAAATGTATTTTAAGTTTCAAGTTTTATTGAATGTCACGTTGTTTGACCACCATAATATTCAATTATTTTTGTGAAATGACTCCACTAGTTTGCTATAATTAGTAATATAAAGATCGAACAATTAGAAAAAATGAACAAATAGGTTTCTCACAGATTAGACTACGGCAAAAGTCGTTAAAAACTAAAAAAAAATTATTGTATTAATAATTAAATGTATTGTTTTTTATTTTCATTGATCCATAATCCAAATTTTCTCCAAGTATGAATATTTTCATACTCGAAACTAAATATATATATATATGAAAAATATATATATACACGTACATATTTATGGTGTATTTACATTACTTCCCTTCTAGATCACTCTTTGGATATAAATTGACTTTGGACCAAAGTTTACTAACTACAGTTAAAAACATATCTGATCAAATGTTCATATCTCAATTTTTTAGCAATAAACGAACTCGAATAGTTCACATGTCATTTTATTGAATTATTATCTAGTGTTAGCTCTCGATCTACGCACACTAGTTCTTGCCGAAAGTAACTGTTATTAATAACAATTACTTTAAGATTGTCGTAGTTTTAATAATTATACTTGTAATCTTAATGGTTTTGATGTTTAGCATTTAGAAATGTAATAAGTATTTAAGAAATAGTCGCATACAATTAAACAAAGTTGTTGAAATTGAATGTTTTTACAAGTAATATATATTACAATTAATATTCCAAATAATATTAATAAGTCCTGTAATTACGTTTTAGGGCGCTTTCCCACTATGTCGTCACGTTTTATTATCGTTGGACGACTGTCGTGTCTAACCTGTTCCCGTATCACGACTATCTGTCGTGGACGATTTTTTATCGTGGAACGACTGTCGTGACTAGCTGTTCCCACTAGATCGTGACGACAATTTATCGTTTCACGACAGCCTCCTTGTCGTTTGCACGACAGAATCGTTTGATGCACTGCAGTCGCTTGTATGTTCTTTTGGAAGCCGGTAGTGTGTGTTCGCTCGAAATGGATGAAGACGAAATTTAAATAATGTATTACTTTTTTAAAATGCGGAAGAGGAAGCAAACAAAGAAAATAAAGTTTTGGGTACATCCAATGCTACTAAAAAGAATTCCATTAGGGTATGACAAACGGTATACGAAGTTGCTTACTTTTCGGTATTGTCAAAACCGGTTACGACCAGAGATGGGCAGTGGGTTAGAACACAATCAACCCGCCTTTGTTTTCAACAGGGTTTTACCCGAAGCGCCGAGTTTTAACCCATTTCTGCCCAAAATCGTGGGCAGAAACGAAGAGTACAGAATTTGGTATAATTTCAACACTAACAACATAATATATAGTAACTTATAGGAAATTTCTATATTTTTATTACACGAAGAAGAGGAGGCATCTCCATATAGAACCCACCACCTGTCAATCCTGTGGATTCTCAATGAAGATCGATTCAAGTACATACTATCTAACGATTTTTTGTATCAATTTATTGATGAACTTTTCAAGCGAATCTATTGCATAGATAGGTAAATCGAACTGTCCTGATAATAAAGCAACAAATATTTTGTAATAATATGTATAATTAAATTTGAACAAAACTCAATTCACAACAAATATTTAGACGTAAATAGTTTTTGCCCTCGATTTCGGGTTTTAATCCGATTTAACAAAGTGCCGGGTTACAACCCGGGCGCTTGCCCAAAGAGAGCAGTGGGCGCGGGGTACGAGAGGGGAGGGCAGGGAGCAGAATACGTGCGGACAGCGATAAATGAATCGTGACGACAATAGGAGCTGCGATAATCTGTCGTCACGTTTTTATCGTGACTTTTTTTATCGTCTGACGACTGTCGTTATAGCTGTTCCCACTGTGACGACAGTTCGTCGTTGTAACGATAAAAAATCGTGAACGACAGTTAATCGTGTTGTGCTATATGTGAACAACTTCATTTAAATATACAAGCCACGACACTGTAAACTGCACGACAATCTGTCGTCACAGTGACATAGTGAGAACGCGCCCTTAACAACTCAAAATGTCTATTTTTCTAGTGGTAAACATCAATAGCTAGATGAAAATCAAAGAGACGTCCAAATAGGGATTGTATTAAAATGACAATACGATTGTATGTATTTTAAAAATAATTTCTAAACTCTACGGAGGAAGGGGTCAAACCCAGATTGGTGTTAAATATCTCCTTAATGAATTGGTGGGTGTCTTTAAATAGTTAATACACACATCAAAAGTGTCTAGGGGATCAAGCACGATTTTACTAATTACTGAAAATCTGGTTTTAAAAAAATGTTGAATTATTAATACGTAACAATAATACTATAATATTATAACAAACTAGTGGAGTAACTTCACATAAAAATATATTCAACATCAATTCAATGTAAATTTAAATATCAATGGATGTTTTATATCAATTTCAGTTTCAAATTCAAATTGACCAGAAAAAACCATCAGTGTTAAAAAAAAATTGCCTATAAAACCTGATTTTCAGTAATTATCAAAAACGTGCTTGCTCCCTAAAGACTTGATGTGTGTCGTTTCAGGCGTTACTTCACGGAAGTTCATTTTAATAAAAATGGAAGTAAATTAATTTGCTACTCCGAACTCAGCGAACGATAAATTGTGCAAAATGGCTGCGTTTGGGTAGAAAATCATTCTTGACACATGTTTCGCCTCTCTACGAGGCATCCTTAGGGCAATTCCTGGTATTGGTGTTTGTGTCTGTGTTTACACATGAAAAAAATACTCCACTCAAGCGCACAAACTATTTTGCACGATTTAACCTTCGCAGAGTAACAAATTAATATGCTTCCATTTTGATTGATAAATGTCGGTTTTTACCTATCGATGATGTATCGTGTGACATTTTTACAAAATACTCTTGGTGTATAAATAATTATATTAAAATATACGCGGTAATTCTTCGGTATATTTGATATGATAGAAAAATATTTAAACGAACAAATAGCGATTATCACAACGCAAAATAAGTTCAAGTTGCTAGATTTATTTTGATCGCTTATTATTACTAATATATATAAAATTACACGATGTTGTTCTTATATCTCACTGAGATTTCTCTCTGTCGAGCTTACTACACGTGTGTGAAGAACCATTTGAAAACAATGGCTTTACATGAATATAAACAAACATTGTGTGAAGCGAAACTCGCTACTAATTTGTCATATTGTACCGTGTTTTACAAATTAGTCTTGCTTAAATTGTAGTGAGTCTTTCGAGTTAACTTTAAGAACAATTAGATTAGTACTCGTCCGAGTTTTAAGCACTGCATTGCACATGACAATTAAACGTCGTAGATTGTCGTAATAAACAATTTTAGTACTTTCAAGTCCAAACCTGGCCATTTTTAGAATATCGTTAAATTTTTTTCCCTATTTTAAGCGCAGGCCACTCCGCGAGCGAAGTTAAGCTAACTTGGATAGCTCACTTAGCCGCAGCATGTTTTCATTGTTTTCATACATCTGTTCACACCGCGAGCTAAGCTAAGCGAGCTAACTGAACTATGTGGGCTAACTACCCAACGATTGCCGCGTCGTGTGAACTAGCAAGTATGCAATAACAATAGCTGTCAGAAAAAATGGCGCTGCTCAAATGATTTGACGATGTTACGATTTGCAATTATAATCTTATGTAAAAATGAATCCCTAGAACTTCTGCTTTCAACGAAAGATTAACGACGTCACTATGGCCCCGTATTTTCTTAGGTTAACTGTGTTTGCAGCTACGTGAGTTAAGCTAAGCTCAGGTAGCTTAGCTCGCTCTTATTTTATCTTAGTAATTGGTTGCAAGCAGCTACGTGAGCTAAACTAACTTGACTTAGCTACCCTCGCGGTGTGGCTTGTGCTTTAACCGATACTCTTTTATACAGGTTATTGAAAGTAGGCTACCTGGATAGATCTCATTTGGTTTTAGAAATAGACATGGAAGTAATGAAATTTGTTTATTTCAAATGTAAATTTAATTTTTCAGAGTTTGTTAAGATGTGTTATAAGATGTGTATTAAGGTTTGATATCAAATATACAATTGATAAGATTTCTGGTTTTCATTGTACGCAGTAACTTCAAAATATTATAATTAGGAGTCATCATCAGTCTTCATACATGCACGCCTTAAATAACTTTTGGAGTAAAAGGATACAAAATGAAACTAACAATTGTTGTGAAAGCACCAGTCAATAATTTATTCACTAAAATTCCCTCAGTATACAAATCTGATATTGGTGAAGTGGAACTTGGCTACAAGTGCTGAGCCAAATGCTAGAACTCTGTTTTATTAGTACTCTACTTATCGCCAGGTGACCCAAGCCGACCTGTAATATTCGTATTTTGTAAACGTATCTTGTAAAAAGGGTTCAATTCTTTCGATGAAAAGTAAATCTAAAATTTTTATACTTAAGGTTCAGAAATAAATAGAGTACTGATTAAAAAAAGCATAATATTGAAAAAAGTATTTAAACTACATCTTGCATTACTCAAGAGCAGCATGATGGCGTTCTACAACACTTATAAACATCGATAAAATGCAAAAACACCGAGTCGTTAGAAGGAAACGTTTAGTGATATCCACTTAGTTTAAAAGTAGGTACATTTAATTACTTCTTAATATTATGGGAACAGTTTATAACTAAGATTATTTACAACTATTACGGAATGCTTTGAAGTATGGAGTATTAAAATATTTAAGTGGTATTCTTTTGCTATTATTTGAGCGATAACAAAATATAAACGTCATTCAATGAGCAACTACAAGTACTTCTTACTACATTGAAGAAATTGAAAAGAATGAGATGGCCGAATATAAAATGGTCTGAGAAACATGAAAGCTCTAAAATGTGACACTGCGGCTAGAAAGGTACACGTGACTAAAAGCTCAAAGCTTTGTCAAATGAGCTTTTCCAAGACAATTTACATCTAATTCCACATCTACAGTTAGTATAAAATAGACTTTATTTTTCTATCCTAATAACTATACATATTTTTGTTTATTTTATTAGTAATCGTGAGTATTTATTTAGTAATGTGTCAACGTTGTCTATGCTTTTTTTTTTTCAGGAACATATCCACTCGTTAATTAGGTAGGTACTTGTTCATTACCTTCAGCATAAACAATATTGAATAGGTACTTAAACTACAGTTTTACAATAATGAATCTTAAAACCTGAAGGTTCGATTACATTTTTTAAGAAATACCTACACTTATATACTATAATTTTGTATTTCAATAAATGTTGAATTGTACTGATCAAATAGGTGATTATTATTTATTTTTTTAGCATTTGTTTTACCTAAATGTTTAAGATTACTCTAAAAAATTTACCTGTATTTATGCAAAGCTTAGGTATGTCGCTTTGTCAACTAGTAAGTTACTCAGTAGAGCATGATTTTAATTAAATCGAAAGATATATATATTATTTAAAAAAAAGGCATTAATAGCTTTTGTATTAAACCACATTTATAGTTAATAATTACAGTGTATGTAATCCGTTACAAGTTAAGGTGTAGACTTATGAATTGCATCCCAACTGCATCGCAAATGCAAATTAGTAGTTGGAGTGCAGTCAAAGCAATTTGGATGTAATGCGCGACTTCAAAGTGCTAGTTCGCGGACTACACGCTGGCTGCATGTTAGCTGCACTAACTCTTAGCAGTTGCAAGACAGCCGCGATGCAGTTGCGCCTACAGCATGCCAAGTGGTATTTCGCAATTGTGATGCAGTCGCTATGCCATTTGTGTACTTACACACGTAAGTGTCTTACATTTAGATATGTAGAGTAAAAGAGAATGAAATACAAGTAGAATTCTGAATCTACAGAAAGTACAATTAGTACCTATACAGTTACTTTTATTCTGAATTTTATATTTCAATGTCTTTATCAATACAAACCTTTCAATATAATAGGGCCCGCACCGCGTTTTAACGTCTGCCAATAGTTTTAATGAATATCCTTACATGTAAGTACTAACTTCTTTCCGTCTCGATTCCTAACTATATCATGGTTAACTATAGGCTACTGGTTTGTAAGTAAGTATGACTTTCTGTAGGATCAATCTCTACCATTAAACTCTCTAGGTGTTTATATAACACTAATACGAGAATATTTACGATGTTAAATGTACTAATTACATACCTAAACATCTGTATACACGACAACACATATTTTAGACACACCGTAACGGGTTTCCACAGGGATACATACAACTGTGCGTTTTGTAAATTAGTGGACAGTAGTTTTATAATTTTAGGTTTTCTCATTCAATTAACAAAACTATAAGTTACACAAACTGTAAGATATAATTATTACCGTAATTCGTATGTTTTGAAATAAATGGCACATTAGTAAACGTGACGTTTACGATGGAAAAGACTGATTTTGGGGTATAAATTGCTCATACGACAACTAAAACGATTTGCATAGCAATTTTAATAAATAATCAAGTTTTCGGGTCCTGCTTTTTACTAAATTCGTCAAAGTGAACTGGGCTTTAGTGAGTAAAAGCCAGTACAGCGTACGTATACTTGAATGAGAAAATCCTCTAAATATAAGGAACGTAGAAACAATATAGTAATTTTGACTATCTAATACGAAATATAATTACAAATTAACACTAAACCAAAATGATACGCACATAAACCTGCATTTGGACATTGACTTAGCCAAAGTACGGTGCAAGAATAATAAGTGAGTTGGCTCACACAACAAAATAATATTATTATAACGATGAAATAGGGTTTTTTTAAATGTGGCCAATAATATTAATGATAATTTTAAATATTAGAATGGAGTGTTAACAAGAAACAATGACAATGTGTAGTTTAGAATATGAGGATTAGTACCTAATGCGAATTGTAGAGAATTGCACGTTTATTGGCAATAAACAAAGTATTGAAACAGTAAAATACTTTGCAGGACTTTGCGAGTTTCGAAGTAGAGTAGTGAACCCAAAAATATAATTTCTTTAATGGCAACGACACGAGTGTCACCTTAAGATAGGATAAAACAAGGTCCAAAAAACAATAACTTAAGAATCAGCATATTATAGTGTCAAGAAGGATGAGGATGGTATGTGGTACGTTATAGTGTGTGGTATGTGGTCTACTCCTTGAGCTTGTGCCAGTCGGCGATCTGGCGGCGCGGCGCGGCTTGCACCTCGCGCCAGTGGTGCCGCGCACTGCCCGTGCCTTCTGCGCCCAGCTCAAGTCGACCGATCACCTAGAACAACACAAGACTCCTGTGTTTAATCTGCCGGATACGGCGCACAACATTACATAGTAGTTAGATAGAATTATATAATTATACAATTCCGCTTCGATAATGCCGATGAATTGCATCGTATCGATTCTAATAATAGTCAAATTTCCCGAATGCATACAATTTCATACAAAGAAATCCAAAGTACGGCAGTTGGTAAGGTGTAGTCGGCTGTTGTCCACAATTCGACGTCAAAGCGTTTATTTTGAGTGTGGTAGTAAGTAAAGCAGTTATGTCCCGCACAAGTGCGTATCCACCTTTATTAGCTATTACAATAATCCTCGTTAACGCGATCTCAATCAAACACGAGCAATCCAATCGAAAGCGTGACTTTAGACGAGATTGGTACTTTGGTACTGATAAAATAGATCTTACTCAACTACATAAGCTTACCTCGTTCTTGGTTACTCTGTCCCAATCCAGCACGAGCAGTTCAAGCGAAACATGGTCGAGTGTAGCGTTGGGCGCAGCTGGGACTTCGAAAACGAACGACTCGTTAAACACCGGGTTCAGCGTGCGTTTCTTCACGTGCGTCTTCTTCTTTGCAATGCGCTGCCCGTTGTACAGCAGGTACATCTTCACGTAACTATATAATTTGAGACAATTTTCAGTTACGACTACAATACAGGAACTATCGTAGTATCTATAACAATATAGTAGTGTCATTTGTATCAATCGAATTGATCCTAAAATGACTATTTTGGTCAATATATTATTAGACATAGGGGTGTGGGACATAGGAGTATTTTGATATTTTATAAGGAAAAATTCCGGTAAAGTTAAAAAGGATTTAAACAAATCTGTATTTAGGGAGAGAAAGATTTAAAACGGCCCACACTAAAATGAAAAGTAATTATTTATTATTTATATTTATTATATTATTATTATACTAACGGATCAGCAAGTCCCGTGACGTCCATTTTGGGCAGGTTGCGTGCTTTGAGCAGCACGACGGTGAGTCTCGCGGCGGCCGGCTGCCAGCACAGCGACACTAGCACCTCGCCGCGGCCCACGCTACGCATCTGCACACACACATTTGTAGTACTTAAAAATGTAGGCAGTGTTAGCTTAATTGGCAGGATGCGTGCCTTCTATATTGGAAATCCTGGATTTTATACTCAACGCATATATATATATATATATATATATATATATATATTTTAATATATTACGTATTAGATACTTAAAAATCCAAGGAAAATTTCATTAGAAAAGCTTCATGCAGCTGAACAAGGGCCATTGTTGAATCTCTTGGAAGACGTGTGAAGCTAAATATTGACCTAAAAACTACCTTCCAAAAATATAATTCAAAAAGTTTAATCCTATTGAACTACACTCGGAGATGACCACCTACATTTAAACCAACTTTCTCCAGGTAAAGGGGTCTTCGTTTATGCTTGCACGCACGTTATTTCGCACCTAAAGTTGTTTATGTCGTCAGTTATTGGAAGTCAATTAGGTATGATGAAATCGTTTCCGTAAGAATAACAATCATTTATTTTCAATAATAATGACAATGACCTTAATAAAGTTACCTTAAATATGAAACGTGATGAAATATTTATTGATATAAGAGCAAGTACCTACATATACATTATCACCTAGGCGAACCTGTATCTTGGGAGGCACTTCCTTCCCAATCAATGGTCACAATTTCCGTATGTATAATTTATACTTGTAACTAATATGGTAGATGGTAACAATTCTAGGAAGCAACTATTATTTAATAAGAGAGCAGAACCTATTGCTAAGACGTTCTGCGTAGGTGCATCATTTCAATATCTACAAGATGTTTGGTGTTGATTTATTCTGGATGGGCGAACAGCAAAATGTAGGTATTTGAAAGTCATAAATAGAAAAATAACTTACCTTGAGGCTGCGTGGTTGTATCTCTCGGCAGAGCGCCATAGCCTCTCCGCTTTGTAGCTGCAAGTTCGATAACGGAGCCACCACTTCGCCAATTATCTCGTCGCGGGAATATCTGCAATCGACAAGCCACGCATTATATTGATTCATGTTACCTGTACATGGCTATTTCTGAACAATACCGATTAACCAGCAAAAGGATAAACAATTTTTGTTCTAACGCTGTTGGAAATAAAGTAAGAACAGTATTTATAATATTGTAAGTACCTGTCGAAGCTGAGTACAACGAAGTGGAGAGTAATGGCTGCGAGTTGATGTGGAACGATACCGTAGAATGTGAAGTCCTCGTCGTATACCGGGCAACGGGTCTTTCGTACAACTCTGCAATACAATGTAGTTAGACTAATTGCTTAGGTTATATAGGCTATGATTACAGCAGAGAAAATCGATTAAAATGATGACTCAAAAATTACGGCATTTTTATTTTTAATAAATCGACTTCAGAAGTATACTAAGTTTTATAGAAATCGGTCGGCGGAAAGTGGGTGAAATCCAACAAACTGGATTCATCCCCTATTTTGCCACCCTTAGATGTGGAATATTTTCTTCAAATTTGTAATTCTCTTTCCAACAAAAAAATAACATCAAAAACGGTTCTCAAATGTTACAAAAACAGTCCTTTTTTTAAATCAATCGTCGTTGCGCTTGAATGTCACGTTACTACGAGTGTATCAAGGTAATGTAAACAAATGCGGCAAATGGTGTCAATGCTATGGCTGCCCAATTGTCTAACCTAAAGAACTTTGATAGATTTGAAAATATTGTGACGCTTTGTTGTCTGGACTTATTTTCCAATGAAAAGGTTTATAAAAAAAAGACTACAAGCATTACATTTGAAAGCGACAATTGTACACTACTTTTCGTCATGTCTCCATACAAACTTAAGAACTTATCATAGCGGCGTACAAGGACTGAAATTACAATGTTATAAAATTCTGCTTCTAGAGACTTCAACCAGTTAGCCACCCCTCCCGCAATTCCACGTCGTCGGCAAAGTGCTGCATCGCGCGTCGCCCATATTTAAACCCAATGCACCATTTCAATCGGTTTATTCTTTTTAGCCAACAAAAACCGTGCTACCAATAGGACTTAGCCAACACTGAAACAGAACGACCGAAAATCAGCGTCTATCTCGCCCGAGATGGACATGTTGTCACAGTAGTACAATATCTATCCATGTCTCCATGTCGCTGAGTCGTATCCTTTTCCACTTTAGCGCCACTATGCACATTTACTGACTGAAAATTACTAAGTCAATGTTGCTTTAATCTTAAGCATTAGATTAAAATGTGTACAGTGATTCAATTTAATGAATAAACGTTTTTTCCTTTCATTCTTTCACTTCACGCTCGCGTGATTTTCAATTGAGACACATATTTCAAATTTGTGAAATAACGGGAAGGGAAATAAAAGTAACGATAGAAACTGGACGGCCACTGAACAGAGGAACACTCTGACACCAATATGGACGCGCTAGTACCGTCCCTAGCAGCTACGGAGCAGAACGTAATCTATTTACTGGGTAACACTCGTATTTTTAGATGCCTAACGAGAAATGTAGGAATAAAACACAGCAAGTGCGACAAGAGGGCTGGCAATGATTATATATTTACATACAATACTTTAAAAATTCATTCTTCTATTTTTTATTTCTTACCTGGTTTTAACCTTGTGTTGTTTATCAGGTAGCAGCTGCAGCTTAACATAGGGGTCGGGGCCAGCGGGCTCGCGTCCCGGCAATCCTTGGCAAGATACCACTGATACCACCAAAGCGCTCTTCTCGTTCTCATATCTGTGAATACACGAGAAAGATTGAATGCTTTATCTAAGACTATTACACTCGATTGTAAAACGACACGACGTGTAGCCAGTAAAAATATTTTTTCCTTGTTATTCTATGATAAACAAGTTTATTGGTTATGGAAATTAATGCGTTCTATTACAAATGAAGAGAATATTGTAAATATTTTACTTGATGCTGACAAATTATGATTCTTATTCACCGAGGGGCTACATACACTTTAGCAGTGCCAGCTTTTACATCAGGCTTAATAAAGTATTTTTCTAATTATCAGGGAAAGAAATTCTAGTCTCCTGGATTCATCCTTCATTCGTTTAATATCACATTCAGAAGAACATGTAAGTAGGTGATTCTATTTGTCGCCAAATAGAATATTAGAAAAATAGATAGGGTTATATCTTGATGTTAGATCTGTATTTCGCATACCTCATGGAAGAATGGTATAAGTGGAGTTCCGTCAAACATGTTTATTGCTCCATTAGATACAGAAAAAGAAAACCTACTAAGCTACATACTCTTCAATTCTTGTAACTTTATGTACAATATTACTCGTTAGTGTTAAGGTAGTAAGTTGAAACGTAGTGTCCTCCTCGACGAATCCCAACCGCGCCTCTGGGTTTTGCATCAGACTGGTATTTACGCTAGCGCTTTCTTTTGTTAGAGTTATCACCGTTCAGAGCGATCTATTTAAATATGCTTTCACCTCAGCTCGGAAAGGCTTTCTTTCTCATTAGAAAACTACACATAAAAGCGCGTTTTCCAGGCGAGCGTGGAAAAGGTTTTTGAAATTCGAACTTGCCGATGGACTGTAAATTTTTCTTTCGGTGAAAAAATAGTGTTTCGCTCGGCAACATAGTTGTTTGGCGTCTCGTGTCTGGAAACCCTTGCTACGCTCAGGCTTCTTAGGGTCGTATTCTAGAACTTTACTCAATGCTCAAGCCAGGATTTGAGAATGGTTTAAAGCACTCTAAATCATACTCAAGTCCCTGCCATTAGAGTCGTATTTCCAGTGCTTGAAATCATACTCAGATCCTGACTTAAGCATTGAGTAGAGTTCTGGAATACGACCCTTAGTCTCCTTCGCTTGCTCAGGATTCAATCCAAGCACTCGCGTCACAACAACTTTGCAGCCTTGCATAACAAATAACTATTTTTTTTATACGAAAGTAAAACCTAAGGAATTATAAAAAGTCATGGAACAACGATAGTTGTTTATGATGTTAGTAATATGATCCTGTGATGTGTTAATATTTTACAAATAATCCTGTATTATGTAATATATTTTTGTTTAAAGAATTGCATATAAAAACCTAGTAATAGAGGTATTGACATATAAATACTTACATAAATATCTGTTATTCTATTCTGTATTTAAATTAATCTCTATTTCATGTAATGAAACTTTCACAAACAACAACCAAACCAGATAAGTTATCACAACAATAACATTTCTCTAGTTTCATTCAATTAAAGGTATTATAAATTTAACAATAGGTTGACCTTTTGAGGGCTTTCCATTATGTAATACTATATAGTATATAGTTTATTTCAGTTAGTAATATTCGTTTTGGCTCACAGTCGTATTATGAAATTGCTATAACGTGGCATTTTGAAATTAAGCTTCATTATTATGCAGAACGCTGGTGACGAAAGGGATTTGTGTACAAATTCTAGCTATTAATTATAATAATGGCAACAAACAACTTTTATAAAAGCGTTGTTTTAAAATCGCGAAGTATGCTCGTGGTGACCTAATGCTTTGACCTACCGCCTCTCAAGCTGAGACCGTGTGTTCGCACCTCTGAATTCCTCGGAATTTATGTGCGAAATTTGAAATTTACTATGAGTTTTTCGGTGAAGGAAAACATCGTAATGAAACATGTACGTCGAAAAAGTTTCATAATCCTTGGAAAACGTGTGAAGTCCCCATTAGGCCAGCAGTGGTGCGTTTACACAAAATGTGCGTGGTCAATCAAAGCCAAATTTAGAATTTAATGTTTTTTTTATAATACCAAGTGACGGGACGAACAAGTCGTGCCCCTGGTGGTAAGCGACGCGCCTGTCCATAACAGTTGTAGTACCACTCAAAGCTTTAAATATAAAGATCTAAGGAGCAATGCCCGCTACGCCCGTCGCCCTGAGACACAAGTTGACAAGTCCCATGTGCCTGTGATTTCACCAGCACCTTCACCCTTCAAAACCGGAACAGAGCAATGCTCACATTACTGCTTGGCGGCAGAAATAAGGCGGCAGTACTTCCCTGAACGAGCTCTTTCACCAAGAGCTCTACTGCTATTAAATAATGTTTTCCTAAGTAAGGTCTACGGCCAATGGTATTTTTGTGACATCTTGTATATTCGGTCTAACTTTCAATTTAGTAGATTTCCCTGAGAACCTTAAAAAAGATAACTTATTACAGATTTATTACGTAAGTCAGATATTAAGTGAACTTATTTCGATGGGGAGCCTCCTTGACGGCACTGGCAATGGCGTGGAGGACGCCATTTGACAGCAAATCATAAAGCAAAGTCGACAAAATTGAAATACTTGTCGTTGTTGTTTATCGAAATAACCTAATTTGTTGCTTTAATAAATATTTGAGTTCTAAAGGTTGGGTTGGATGATGATATCCTACGCTTGATGTAATTAGGCCACATCTGCAAAATGACAGCTTTTCGGGAAAGAGGTTTAAATAGGAAAGTTATAAAATTTCACATAATATATTAAGTTATAAAATTTCACTTAGACAGGATGTAATCGTTAAGTGTGCCCACGCGATTATTCCGTAAATATGAGAGATATTAAAAACCTTTAAACTGGTAGCGAAAGTACGTTACCTAAAGTGTATAACGACACGAGTAACTTTCTGAAATAAAACTATAATCACCCACAATTTTAACGTTAAACGCTCCCATACATCTAATAAGACATTCGTAGAGAGGATTTTGTTTCGAACAACTGCTCGAATACAAAATTTTGTACACTTTGCTTAAAAATAAACATAGTTTTGTTTTATTCAATTAGAAGACAGTTTTATTACTTTGTTAAGAATACTTTCGTTATCTGAAAACTTATTGTTACTTCTTATAGGTCAACTAAAGGCTCTCTATCAGATTAAATGTAGGGGACCGTTTTACATTAAATTTTAGATATTTCTAGTATTATTCTAGAGTCCCTGCCGCTCGATCCAAGCAAAATGAACCGTATTAGTACGGGAAAAGTCGAATTCGAGCTGAGGTAGTATCGACTATTAATAATGCTGAAAGAAATGCATTACTTGTTATTTTTTTCTATTTCTGTAAAGGTAGAAGTTTAATCACAATACGATATAAAATATAATTAATACACATGATATAATATCCTGGGATAATTTTCAAATACCTATAAACAAATGCGTGGAGAAATGATAATCATCCTAAATCCTAAATGGTTATATTGTTTCAATATTCGCAATCAAAATGTACGCCAACTTAAACGTGAATATACCCTAGTACTTGTTTATTGCAGTTATACGTATAAAACCTGTCCAGATATTTCTCGTTAGTGCGAAAACTTCCATCCTTCCCATTTTACCCCAAAGACTGTATAACTCAATTAAGGATTTAATATTCTCTGAAGTAAGAGAAGCCAAAGTTAACTTATTGATTGAGTTTCCCTTCTAGTACGGTCCATGAAAACGTCAAAAGTGGAAGCTAACTAGCACTATGTATCTAAATGTACTGTGCTGCTCTCCTAGTCAATAACGCGTTTGCATTTTGGTAATTTTCGAAATATTGGCAGCTAAAGTTTTTTCCTATTAAAAAATGTCAATTACGTTAATTTTGCTTAACTAAATAAGACGTAAAAAACTGCTTGTATAAACATCGCTGATTCCAGATGTTGTTATAAACTAAACTTCGCTAAAAATGTCGATTACGTTACTAATAATAAGGAGTGTGTATGTCACTGTTTATGTATGCTGTTTTGTTGAATAGGAATTCCACTATTGGAATGTAGATCCTATCTTAGAAGCAATATGAATGGTAATAGTGTCGATACTGTGGATACTTCAGATATCTAAACAATTTCTTAAGAGAAACTAGGACAATTGCAGGCATGTAAACGGGATTAACCTTGCAGTGAATTGTCAGATATCTTATATAAGTAAATGTCGTTGCTGTGGTAATGATTCTAAATCATACGCGAATATAACATAGAAGTATATTATGAATATAGGTATCCTAAGCGTTCGAACTACCCATATTAGTGACTTACAAAAACATAAAAATGTAACATGAGTTTTAGTAGCAATAGAGCTTCTTGTGAATGAGTTCGTCCAGGAAAATATTGCCACCTTGCCCATTTCTGTCGCCAAACAATAATGTAAGCATTACAGCGTTCCGGTTTTGACAGGTAAGGGTATTGGTGAAATTACAGGCACCTGGGACTTGTCAACTTATGTGTCAGGGTGACGGGTGCAGTGACACTCCTCCAGTCCTTCAGATCTTTGCGATTTAAAACTCAGGGGCAACAGTTATGTTATGGATAGGCGTGTAGCTAACCATCAGGCGCAGAGCTTGTTCGTCGCGTCAGTTGATATTAGAAAAAAAATTGGTAGACTTGCTCTTAGAGTAGTACAAATACACAATCTATGTATGCTAGTTTTTTATGATACATCATTTGCATTTCCCTCGAGCATTACAGAGGCATACACAAGTGTAAGAACAAAAGCAACGCCTGTTGTTATAAATTGTTCCCATGTAATATTGTACGTGACATTTTACTATCGCAACCGCTTGTACATACGTCGTTTACGCAAACAGTTTCAATTTGTTTCTTGGAGGTTGACTCGGTTGACTCGTTTGCTTCTATTGCACAGAAACAACACTTTGAAATCAATTTAACACGAATTTTATAAGGAAGTAAATATTTTACTCGTATCTCAGAACATCAGGCATCTACCAGGTAAAGTACCGAGTTTATAGCGACGCTCAATATTGCGATCGCAATAAAGAGAAGTAAAGGGAGCCTTTTTAATGTCACACGGCGAGACTTCCATAGGTAAGATTATGTTATAGATTATTTTCAAACCAAACAACAACAAAAATAATCTTCATTCTTATTAATTTTAAACTGTTTGAAGTTATTATTCGTGAGTTAGTTATAAGTACATATTTATGTACTTTTGCATTAATATTAGCGAATGTTAATATTATTTATTGAACATTAAATTAAATTTAACTGCCTCTGTGGCCGAACGGTTACTATGCTGGACGTAACGCAGAGGTCACAGATTAGAACCCCAGGCCTGGAGAAATATTTGTACATTTAATTCTGTAATTGTCTATGTGTGTCCATGGCACCAGCGATATAGGGTTTCCCTAGTAACGCGCAAACACAGCGTTAAAAAAATATAAACTTAACAGTTAACTCTTGTCTTTTAACAATCTTATTATAGCTATTTTTACCAACAAAAACCTTATTTCCATCACACTTTCACATTTCTACTCATGCCTCCTCCCCTTCATTATGCTATTAATAAATATGCTAAAATGGGCAACGCGTCCTGGCGCGTCTGAACATTTCTACTTGAATTAGTAATGGTATTAGCATTATCTTTATGAATTTCTATCGTTTTTGAAATTAACTACAGTCAAAAACGAACGAGGCATGCTTTTAGAAACCAATTGATCTCGTTATTAAAAAGTATACGCACTTTTAGCGCATGTACTTTTCCTTATTTGCATCACCATAAGTAAACTGAAACAACCGTTTTCAATTAAGTATAACGCATATATAAAACGCAACAAACTACAAATTCAAATACAATAAAAAACTTTTTTTCTCCAAAAAAGTTTTTTACAATAACGCAGCATCGCAAAACACTAGTTACGATTTTGAAGTAGGCACACATACAGCCCGTCGGACAGAGACCATCTTCGTACATATACAATTTTTTTTTGACGTAAGAAGATAGGTATTCACGATCAAGTTTCGTTTACTCTAGATGTCGCAGTATACTTAGTTCAAGAGCACAGTGCTATTTTAGTTATTGTATAAAAAGCAGCGTCGTGTTGCCACTTTAGACTTCAAACGTGTAATTAAATGTACACTAAACTGTAAATGTGTAATTTGTATACTATACAATGTTCATAGTCCACACAAGTAAACTAAGTTGATAGATAATTATATGTATACTCGTAGAGTGTTGCAGTCAATTATTTTCTGAGGACAAAGCCCTGGCGCTGAAGTATCGATTTTATAATGGGTTTTCCTGGTAGATGCCAAGGATCGGTCGGTTTTAAATTACAAATTAGATGTGATTACCGAAATTGGTAAATTGTGCTGTGAATTTCAATTTTTTACTAGCAAAACATTTTTCTTTTAGCTTTTCGTTGTAAATCGTTAGTATCAAATTGAAACATGAATGAATTGGGCTCTTTGACGAGTATAAGTACTAAACCATAGCTCTGAAAGATGTATTTTGTAATTATGTAATGTATAATAAATAAATAGACAATATGGTCATTGTACTTTTATATAGAAATAAACAGTTTAAATCGAAACCTATTCCAAACATGTTCTGATTAATTGTATTACATGGCTTACCTTCGTTTTCACATATATATATATAAACATAAATAACAAAGTGACTGGTAAACAACCCTTATTTCTTCAACTTATTGTTGTTTGTTTACCTGAACAAAGGACGAATCGTGACTTTAAAAGAATTTCAACAACCCTTGAAGCAAATGTACAATTACAATTGTATGTATAACAGAAATAAAAAGTTTTAATACTCAATAATGTTGTTAGTAATCGGCAATCCTTTTTACACTTACATTCCACTGCTGGGCACAGGTCTTCTCTAAAGAGGCCTTTGGGACTTCACGTGTTTTCCAAGTGTTGTGAGTGGTTGTGAGTAAGTAGTAATACCTCTCAAAACTTAGAAATTAGGTTTTATTTAATAGATTTTTGTATGATACCAAGTGACGGAACGAACAAGTCGTGCGTCTGGTGGTAAGCGACACGCCTATCTACATATAACAGTTGCAGTGCCACTCAGAGCTTTAAACTGCAAAAATTTGAGGGCCACAGCCATCGCGACCGTCACTCTGAACATAAGTTGACAAGTCCCACCTGCCAGTAATTTCACCTATAACAGAATAGGTAAGGTGGCAGTATTTCTCAGGACGAACTCTTTCACAAGGAACTCTATGCTACTTCCCTAGACGAACTCTTTCACAAGGAACTCTATGCTACTTCCCTAGATGAACTCTTTCACAAGGAACTCTATGCTACTTCCCTAGACGAACTCTTTCACAAGGAACTCTACTGCTATTGATATATATCTCCACAAGGATATAGGGAAATGATAGTCGATAACCGTCGACTTCTCACTAGACTGTTAGTACGAATTACTTTTTCCCCTTCCGAATATTATGTACGACACAAATTAATAAACATAATTCTAGCCTGGTGAGAAGGAAAACATGAAACTTGAGCAGCTCGTTACATAACTTCGTTTTGATTGCTTAGACATGGGCTTTGTAAACCGGAATAAGCGAAGTTGCGTGTTTACTCGTTGTGTGATTAAATATACAATAGTTATTAATTAATGAATCCTATTACTTTGAAAATGATACTGTTGTCTTCCGGATTATTATACTATTAGGTTCAGTTGGTTAAATTTAAATTATCGTGTGAAAAAGAATAAGAATATATAACTATTGTAAAAGCGCAATACTGACAAACGATAAAACTATATCGGTCATTCTCGAACTAGTGTTCACTACCTTATTTCCGTGGCAGTGTTGAATATTTAAATGTTCAAGTACGTTATCGTATAATTATCGAATAATATTTCACGATCCCGAAACGTACCTTTGGTATGTACAATAAAGGCATATGTGATCATACGTCAAGAGTGCTTTTATCATATGAAAGTCAAACAATAATACGAACTACATGAAACAAATTACGTACATGTGAAATTTTATAACTCTCCTATTTATGCATAAAAAGTTTCCGACTAATTTCGTTCGTAGAATCTTTAAAGCTCTCTCCTGAAAAGTCATTTCGCAGATGTGGCCTTATTACATCAAGGGTGCGATATGATATATAAATTATTTATTTAATTTCCCACAGGACTCAATTTACTAGAGAATAGATTCACCTATTCTCTAGTAAATTGAATCCCGCGATACCTATTCATAATTTAAAAAAATGTAAAATAGATACACGTTTGAAAGTGTAATTTTCATTTTAGTGGTATTCTCTATCTAATTTCGGTGGCAATTTTTATTATTTGAATATTCTACAATATTATCATGAAATATTATTTAATATTCGTGTATAGTGTCCCGAAATATGATTTAATATTTTCCGATAATATACATAAATAATAAAAATTGCCACCGAAATTAGGTAGAGATTACCGGTTACCGGTTGTGTATTCCATTACTTTGTCCTATACATTGAGAAGGCGAAAACAAAATGCTTCGCGCATATTGGTGATCCCTGTACAAATGGAATTGAAAAATCAAAATTATTTTCTTATTTTAATGTAGAATTAATTACATACCGCAGTTTGAAGTGCAGATCGCCAAGTTTGCCATCGTTATTAGGCTCAGGCTCCACAGGCTTGATCTTCTCAGTGCAGTTAGCATCGGCCAGCTCCTTGCTCAGCGGAGTGGGTTCGGTGGGGGCAGTAGGCGAGTGAGGAGTGGTGCCTCCAGATGGGGACTGTAAAGGATGCTCATTGTATCATCATTTTTAGTTACAGTCATAAATAATACACCCCTACTAGGAACTATGAATACTGACTGTGAACGATGTGAAATGCTTGGGTGAAAACCGGGAGTAGTATATGGCGTCACACGATGTTACATTGGTAATGTTTATGCACGCATAGTTTACGCCTTTTTTAAATCGGCAGAGACAACAACCTTCCATTTGCCTCATCTTCCTCATCAACACGCATCAGTGCTGTGATACATGGTCGTCGGTTAAGGACACTCTTGACTTTCGCCTTTCTTCAATGTTTTTTCATACATTTATTAGCCCATATTGTATCAAAGCACAAATTTCTGCAAGTCATTTTGTAGAATATGTACCCTAGTATAGCTGACCACGGTATATATACTTTGCTATACCTTAGATCCAGTATGATTAGTTATCGGCGGATGAGGATGCGGTGGGGATGTAGCCGGTGCAGTGGGCGCAGTAGGCGATGGCGATTTGCGTAGGTAGTGCGTAGCGGAACCGGGAGACCGCACAGCCGTAGCGCGTCGTGGAGGCTGGAACACGAGCGCCTTATCCGGACCACGTTTGCTACCTGTGGGACACACAATTAAAAAACACTTACTACGACGAATATTTCATTAATGATAACTAAAACATAGCATGTTTGACCTGTGCACACAAAGTATGCTACAAAAATCCGAGTCCAATTCAGAAAATGTTTCGTCTGGCGTTGGAGAGTTTTGTTAAACGTATACAATAACAACGGTACTGAAACTATGAAGCCTGTGGAGCAGACGTTTAGCGTTGGAAAATCCAGCGACCTGTAGTTCAGACTGTGATATGTAATTACGCTATAAAAAAATTGTTAACAAAAAGTCTATACATATTTCATTTGTGATAGGTAGATACAAATCAGAACATTTTAATTTCACGAATACATGACCCTCTTAAAGGAAATTACAGGCACATGGGACTTGTCAACTTATGTCTCAGGGTGACGGGCGTAGTGAGCGTGCCCCTCAGATCTTTGCTATTTAAAACTCTGAGTGCAACTGTTATGGACAGGCGTGTAACATACCATCAGGCGCACGACTTATTCGTGCTGTCACTTAATATTATAAGAAAAAAAGGCCCATCCCAAGGCGTTGCGTTCATGCCCTATGATTATTAGGCACAATTACTAGACAAGATGTATTCAACAGGTGATTCTTATGTTTATATTTCGACAACTCCCACATAAGTTGTTGCAAGTCAAAATACCATTTTTTGCTTTTGAACTGAAAATATATCCCTTTTTTATGTATATTATAGGTTCCATGTTTGAAAGATGATTTCCTTGCTTACTTAGAACAACTTACTTGGAAGGTATCGATTTATATGTAACATACGTACCAAGTTTGTGGGCCAACGAGTTCCTGCGGCGCGTGACCCAGCAGGCGAGAGCGGCGAGAACAGTGACCACGGCCGCTGCGGCGCCACACACCAGCAGCCAGAATGTCGCACCATGCAATTCGCCAGCTGTAACAATGACAACATTTAGATCCTATAATCCAAAAAATCAGGCAGAAAGTAGCGTCATCAAATTATTTTTGAAACATCGAAAACATGTCCTTATTAAGCGATTTCAAAAAAAGGAGGAGGTTTTCAATTCGGCTGTATGTTGTATACAGCCGAATTGAAAACCTTTATTTTTTTTATACTGTTACGCGAAAACTCGGTTTGTAAACCGATTTTGATGATTCTTTTTTGTTGGAAAGAGGGTACCACAGTGGTAGTCCCATTTAAATTTGAAGAAAATATTCCACCTCTAAGGGTGGCAAACTAGAGGATGAATGACCTTTGAGGTCGGTTTTTTAGTACTCTGTACTACAATTCGAAAAATTGTTCAGTGTAGCATGTTTTAGGTTTTCACGACAGTTTTAAAATATTTACGACCTGTTTTAAATTCTAAAGTTAAAATTTTAATTAAAAAGAAAATGAACATTCCAATTTTTTTCATCTTTCTTTGTTTCACTTTTAATGTTGAGCAAAATCAGTGTAATTTACATTTTTTTACTCCCTTTACTGGCAAAAAAACTTTAGTGCCAATATCCCGAAAGCTTAGATACTCGGGACAAATTAACCCTTCCTGCCAGACAGACAACTAGGGTGCGGAAATGGGTAACGAGTGGCCGATGTCTATGCCAGTACAACCAACGTATAAGTTCTTTATCACTGTATTTATAACTCTACATATTCTACTTACATGATATTCTATCCCTAATCTAACTCTGTCGGTCTTTGTATCAATAATAATAATAAGAAACTAGTGGAGTGGATAAATAATAAAGTATATATTTTTTATTCTTCTTCGCTTCAGTGTAGAGACAACTCATCTTTAGAACGTACCCAACGTTCTGTCACAAGGCATTATTTTGGATGTTATACGTAAGCTTATATTATAATCGGTGCAAATGAAGTATGCACATAACTCTACCCTTTTAAAGCGCCAAAAGAGACATAACAAAAGATATGTAGCAGTTCTATTAGTTATCGAATTTTCTAAGTGTCGCAAAAGTCTCCATGTGAAAAACAAGAATTCCAGTATTGGATTTGTAGTAAGTATGTAATTCAATACCTAGGATCAGACAAGTTTCCCAATAAATCCCCGAGTAAATAACCGAATGTGTGCGATGTATCCGGCAAACAACCTGAACTCGCATTTTTTGTTTACGTATTTGTGGGAACAAACATTGTTCACGGTAGATTTTACCTACCTAGCTTCGTGTGAGGACAAGTCAATGTCACTGTTTTATTCTATTTTCTTTAGGTATAACTAGGTTAGTTTAGGTGTGGCTAATAAAGCTGGCATGTAGTTTGCGCAGGTTTACGGCTAAGGATTGAGTGTCCGTGAACGACCGCTTTTTACTCATGTCGTTTATCTCGTCCGACTTTGTGAATGTAATGAATACAATGTGATCGAATGTTTGAAAACGACCGACCATCATTTTTATCCAAAAAACAAATTTCGTCACTATAATTTTACTTCCCGAAAGTGTTAACTTATTTTAACAACATACAAAAACCATGCGAGCTTTATTACGTAGTTTGTCAATAACTTCCGGCAAGCAAATGGTCGTGCACCAATCACTATTCACGGTACAACGATGTTTCAAAACAACGGTAGCCACGTGTCCAGTTTTATTAAAAAAAGAAGCAATCATCCGCTTAGAGGCACTTTGCACTCGCGCTACTTTGGTTGGTTTCGGCTCATCTCGAAAGACCCATACGCTCGATTGCTGCTTTGTTTTGGGATCGTAACTATAAATCCATGTTTAGACCTGTTACTATGTCCCACACCAAATTTGCCGCCCCTACGTTGAATCTGGTTAGCATGGCATTGCACGAAGTGACGCGATCCGTTTTTTGAGCCAAAGTCAAATTGTGTGGGATCCACCGAGGGCACAGCTTGCTCACACCCAAATGTTTGTGTAGAATTGATTGTATTTGACTCATGCTTATGCTTAAAGATGCCCGAATCTCATGGTATGTCACATGCCTCTATGTTTTGATCATACGGCGCACAATATCGATGTTTTTGTTGTTCACAGCAGTTGACGCGCGACCATCACCAAATTCGTCACTGAGATTCACACAACCGTGTTTGAATTCTGCAAACCAGCTATAAATAGGCGTCTTGCATGGTGCTTCGTCGCCAAAGGCAGTTTGAAGCCGAGCGAAGCTCCGCTGAGTAGTTATATTACACTTAAAGTCGTAGAAAATCATGCTACGAAATTTTTCACAAGTTAAATCCATGGTGATGTAGACAACCAATTTCTAAAATGACGCCACAGTGTAAAAACAAGCGACAGTCAGATGAAACAAACTGTAATCTACAGCCAAAGAGTTCCATTTTCAAATGTTGTAATTACTTTTTAAATATTGTTTATGTAAGTGGCCAGTTCCGGAAACTTATAGTGCGCCCTACACACATCAAAAAAAGTTTGCGATCAATAGCATAATCTCCTATAATTCTTTAAATTTAACTTTATCAAGAAAAATCTATGTTGTATGCTTTCTTTAAATAGGAATACCCTGTTTGAAATTAAAATATAAAACTATTTTTTATTATTTATTTAAAAAAATGAGCCATTAATCATAATGTAATAGTGATAGAAATTTCATAGAAAGAAAAAGACTGTTTAATTAAACTTAAACAACAATTTATTATTAAAAGGTGTGAATTCAATATAAAATAACTCCTCCCCTGGCTCGAATACATGCGAAGATCCTCCTGGGCATGCTGAGGATCAAGTTACCCAGCATTTCCTGAGGTAACCTATCCCATTCTTCAATAGCGGCTTCCCTGAGCTCTGGAACTGTCTGGGGATGTGGCTCACGGTTCCATACTGCTCGTTTAAGAGCATCCCACGCGTGCTCTATTGGGTTTAAGTCGGGCGAGCCGGCAGGCCAGTCTAATCGTGTGATATCGTATTCTTGAAGAGCTGCATTGACTCGTTGAGCTCGATGTGCGGGCGCATTATCATCGACCAGTACAAATTGGTGCCCATGGTTTACTCGGAATGGTCTGACGATATCATCAATAGCAACTGCTTTGTACATGTCTGCTGTCATGAAGCCCCGATACTGGATCAAAGGCGTTCTAGCTCCAATCATAATGCCACCCCAAAAGGACACCGATTTTCCGCCTTGCTGAACTGTTCCAGTGGCAGTTCTTTGTCTTTCATGGTCGCCTGGTCTTCTCCAGACACGGACACGTCGGTTATCTGGATGAGTGCTGATTCGGGATTCGTCAACGAAGAGACAGTTTTGCCAAATGTTTTCGTCCTCACCTTCTTCATTTTGCCGAAGTCTAGCCCACTGCAATCTTCGTTGTTGACGTTGCCGGGAATTGAGCGGAGCTCGCCAAGACCTCCGTGCTCGTAATCCAGCCTGGTGCAAGCTATTGCAAACGGTCTGCGTGCTAACTTCAAGCCCAGAGGCGGCCCTGACTTCTGCTTTTATTTTAGTGGCGTTGATTGTTGGATCACGGGCTGCCAGCAATCTAATATAGCGCTTTTGGGCAGCTGTCAAAACAGTTGGGCGACCGCTGCGGGGTCGGTCAGCTAAATTCCCCATTCCGTGATACCTCTGCAACGTAGCCAAGACACAGGATTGGGATATAGCAAGTCTGCGTGCTATTACTCTCGTGGTGTATCCTCTTCCCTCAAAGTTACTATTCTAGCTCGTAAAACCTCTGATAATCCTCTTGGCATTTTTTCAATCACAACTTTCCGCGAAAAATATCTTGAATCGCTTATAATTGACTAAATCAGATTTCTGAATGAGCGTAAGCTAGGACTGAAAGCCTTTTTATATGAAAAAACAATTGAACGGGGTCATTGTTTTATGTTATAATTTATTTTTAAATAAAGAATCTAAAAAGAAGAAAAAATCATAACATAATCTACAGTAACTAAAAAGATTTCAGTTTTTCGAAGTGATCGCAAACTTTTTTTGATGTGTGTATGTAGTGCAATTGTTGTGGATAGGCGCCACCACGCGCACGACTTGTTCATAACTTGTTTTCGTCACTTGGTAGTATATAAAAAAGTAATAAACCAAGTTTTGAAACGTTCCAAGACTACTTTTTGCGTAAGCTTTTAAGTTATTAAAGTCAAAAGTAAAATTAAAGAAATCAATATTCTCAAGGGATAGGACCTTGGTTAACCGAACGAGTAAGTAGCATCATTATTAGCAAGTTACTATCCAGACCTAACCTTTATCAAGTTAAGATTAAGTACATATGAAATTGTGATATTATTATATAATTATAGGTATATGAGATCATAACTTATTGGTTGACATCGTTCTAAACGCATTTTCAGTACATAAAACCAAACAGTTATGTACTATGAGCATCCCCAAGAGTGGCGAAAAAACAGACATTTTAAAGTAAACCTTCACGACCCAAATATGTACGCAAATATGTATGTACCTATACTTGGTTTTTTTGTGTCCGATGTTTTAAAGGGGTCGTCTGTGGGGTCAGATAGTAAATGTTGTTGGATTCTTGTACTGGACATGACCTTAAAAATGTTGGCGAATAAGTAGGACACTATAACATACGTACATATTTTTATTTTTGTATGTGTATCTGGTTTCGGACCCAAATTTGTATATCGTACAACAATACATGTACACGGAAAGAGTTACACGTCAGATGCAAAGAAGGCTTAATTTTTTTTATATGTCTAGTGATGAGACGAACAAGCAGCCCTAGATCTAGGGGGAGGCAATCCGACAATTCGCCCCAAGGGGCGATCTCAAGGGATGTCAAAATCATAATATCATTATGTTTGAAAAAAAAAAAAAACTTATTTCACAGAGCGCCTAGCATCTAGCGCTCGTTGTCTATCGATTATTCAATTGGTTTTAAAACGCCTAGTTGGTTTTTGAACACATCCTGAGTTGATTTATGAACGCATCCTAAATCGATTTTTGAACCTTTGTTTGCCTATTGTCTTTCCTGGTTATTT